ATTATCCATTAATTAGTTAATTTTTTTAGATTTAAAGTTTTTGAATGTTACACCTAGTAGGAAAGATATTTTAATAGAGAAGCTATTAATGATAAATGATAATACGTGGGTCAACTTTATAAAGCATAAATGTTAATTTTAAAATTTTAGATGAGGGGGTTGATTTGGAATTGGATTAAAATATTATAATACGTGCATTCATTTATTCTAAAAAATATGTATTTCCAAGATTGATGAAAGTATTTTTATATGGTTGTTAAGCTTTAAAATTTATTAGCTACCTAGTTAATGCAAGTTTGGCATTAGCCATAAAGTATGATTTATATTTGAAATAATTCATGCGAGTTTGGCATTGAAAATGATAATTTATTACAATGATAATTATTTTTCTCGCATGTTTGAAGTGTGATTTTAAGAGAACTCTAAACAGAACACTGCTGCTAACAGCAATTTCATTAGCCTGTAGCACGTTGTAGTTAAACACTAGCTAGTTCATCTCGTAAGTTTTGTTCTCATGTTTGATATTCATGGGCTTTGTACTCGCATTTGATTTCATGGCCTGAGCCACGTTTGGTTAGCATTACCCTTGTGGATTGTGTATCCATGTTTGTTTTTATAGCTACGGCTGCGTTTGGTTACTTATCCTCATGGACTGTGTGTCCACATTTGTTTTTGTGGCATAAGCCACATTTGGTTATTTACCCTTGTAGACTGTGTGTTCACATTTGTTACCTGTTCTGTTAAGTTATTAAAATTCTAAATATTGACTAATATGCGTTTTTGAAATTTTCATGATTTTGGCTAGCAGTTATATCACTCTGATTTATGTGTGAATAAATGGTTTTCTTTAAGCATGATAAATAAATTGCTTTCAATTTACTCTCATTTTATGATTATGGTTATGATTTACAAACTTACAAATTTATTTTGTTTAATTATTTTTAATTAGTTTACACCATTATTAGAGTTTGTTAATCTAAATTTTAAAATTTTACTTTAGGAATGCTATTTGCTAGAAGACTTATTTTGGCCCCAGATTTATTAGCTGACGCTAATCCCACCATCGACCTCTGAAGAGCAATATAACTACATTTGGTGAAAATTTTGGTTGGTACTATTACTTTTGATGAAAATATACAAGTCGTATGTATTTTGATTTAAAAGAAAGATTAGTGCTCCACATATATTGTTGTTAGAATTTTATTTTGATCTATATATACTATTACTGGCTGGAAGGAGCTAGCTCTTGATTGATATTGTATTTTGTGAAAAGTTTTGTTGTAAAATTTTCGGGAGATCCTATTTACAGGGGAGGTTCTATCAAAATTTCTACAAAGATGTTAAAGTCTTAGATGACAATTAATATTAAAAGTGTTAGAATTTCTATATGAACTAATTATTTCTTTTTAGAAAATAGAATAAATTTTTTTTTAAGGCTTACGGGAATGCGTGATGTAGTTTGCACCCGTGTTGGTCACCCTCTATTTTCAAGGCATGACAGTTTTTGGTATTAGAGCCAAGGTTTTATATATAGTTATGTGGAGCAAGAACTTTTTAGTGAGGTCTCAATTATCATTATGAACTTAGACATAATTATAATTGAGGCATCATTGAAAGTTCTATAGGAAGTTTTCGAACGTTGTTTATTTCTTGATATTGACTTCTTTGCTATATAAAATTACATTTTGAGTTAAATATTTCTTCTATTTCTTTATATAGTGAAATATGCCACTCAGATGTCGAGTATCTACTATGAGCTCCACTTGTAGTAGAGCCTCTAGTAGAATTTCTCTGACAGATGATATGCTCTTAAGAGGTAGAGGACGGAATTAAAGTAAGATCAGGGCTAAGAGTGGCCAAACCCTTAGGCCCCTTCAAGATATTCCTTCTAGAAGTGAACGAGTAAGTTCTCAGTTTGAGGAATAGACTACCCTTTGACCCATGATATGCAAGAGGATAATCCTATAATCAAGCTGTCGAAATTTATGAAATTAAATCCATCAACCTTTTCAGGAACTAATACACGAGAGGACCCAATTAAGTTTCTCAAAGAAATTGAGAAGAGATTTAGGGCCTTGAGATGCCCTGATGTTCAGTATGTCAAATTTGCAGTGTTCTAGCTTTAAGGAGTAGTGAGTACTTGGGTAAAAATAGTCCCAGGTTTGCATGCGACTAGAGTACCTTCTTTGACTTGGGAAGAATTTAAGACTACATTTTTGAATTGATATTTGCCTCAAAGTACTAGAGACATAAAAGTTGAAGAGTTTCTGACTTTTAAAGTGTAGTAAAGGAATGTTAATAGTAGAGTATGATCAAAAATTTATAAAATTATCTTCTTTTGCTTCTCATATTGTATCAACTGCAAGGGAACAAATTAGCAAGTTTGTACATGGATTATTGGTTGACATACATGATAATATAGCACCTATGTTGGGTCGTGATATCACCTATGCTGAGATTGTTGACAGTATGTTGAGAATTGAGAATGGACATAAAGTAGAGGAAGCAACTTTTAAGAAACACAAGAGGGAGCATGATGAGAAATTTCTTGGTTCTTCTTCCAAGAGTCATCAATTTTCAAGTCAATCTCACTTTCATGCCTTGCAGTCTAAACCTAGATCATTTGGTTCACCATTAACAAGCACTCCCATCGTGAGACCAAATTCTAGTAATGTTAGACCTTGAGCCTAGTCCATTCTGAATCAATCGGGTTACGTTAGAGTCCCTTGTACTGGTTGTGGGAAATACCATTCGGGACCCAGCCATAGAGTGTTTGGTGCACGTTTTGAGTGTGGGCAAACATGCCATTTGAGAAGAAATTGTCCATATTTCTAATCTATTTCTAGCCATGGATCAATTCAACCTTCTCCCTACCTTACTTCATCTTCTGTCCCACTTACTAGAACTACTTCTACTTCAGCAAGTAGGGGTATGTTTGGGAGGGAAAACGGTCAATGAGGACAGTCTTCTTCAAGGCAAAGACAGGCGAGAGTTTATGCTATGACAAGGCATGATGCTAAAGCTTCAAATGCTGTTGTTACAAGTATTATAACTGTGTGTTCTAATCAAGCTTATGCATTATTTGATCCTGTATCAACTTATTCATATGTGTCTACTTATTTTGCTAAGAGGTTGGGTAAAGAATCTACCAAACTTGATAATTCATTTGTAGTTGGTACCCTATTAGGAGAATCTTTAATTGTTTCTTAGGTGTAAAAGACTTGTGAAGTGTCTCTTGAGGGTAAAGAAACTTATTGATTTAACGATACTTGATATGATTGATTTTGATGTAATTCTGGGCATGAACTGGTTAGCTTCCTGCTATGTTGATTGCCACTTGAAAGTGGTGAAATTTGATATTGCAAGTGAAACTCCTTTTTTGTTGCAAGAGAGTTTTACAAAAAGATTGACTAATCTTATTTCGGCTTTAAAAGCTCAAAGATTACTACAAAAGGGTTGTCAAGGATTTTTAGCTGTGGTAAATGACATTGATAAACCTACTGTTAGTTTGGATCAAATCCCTATTGTTTGAGAATTTCTTGATGTATTTTCCAGAAGAATTACCCAGACTGCCACCTATTGGGAGATCAAATTCGCCATTGACTTGGTTCCAGACACTCAATCACACTAGTACAAAATAAGATTTTAACAACACATTTTTTGCCACAGTTTCCTAAATAACTACGATAATAAATGATATACTGACAAATTTGTAAATAAATAGAAAAATGTAGATTTTATTGCCACAATCATAAGTAATAATGTCATCGTAAATCATCAAACTAAATTATTTGACTTTAATTAAGAATTTTAATTAATTAATTAATTTAATAATAAAAATAATTATTTAATTTAATATATATTAAATGAGTGTGAAACGCTTAATTAATAAATTAATAAAATTAATTTAATTATATAAGTTTATTTAATTAAGTAATTTAATTAAACTTAAGTTTTTTGAATCCAAAGACATTAAATATCATTAAATTACAAAAATTAAATTAGTTAGAAAAATCGAGTTATTAATAAATTAAATTAACTTAATTAATTAAAATTATTAATTAAAATCTAAAACGAATTAAATGGCATTTAATTAAGAAATTGAATTGATTTGTAAAATTAAATTATAAACTAATTAGGAGAATTTAATATATTTAAATTATTAATTAATAATTAAAAATATAATTAAATGTTAATTATAATAATTATTAATTAATAATTTTTGTAATATTTTTTTAAAAAATGATATATAACAACAGGTCCCATTAAACCTGTCACCAAATGTCTTTTCTAACTTTTTTAATTTTTTTTTTAAGAATCAACCTATGGACACAGGTCCACATTAAACCTCTCACCATAGATGTGGACCTGTGGCCATTAGGTCTTCTTTTAGGTGCATTTTAGATATATTAATTACTTAATTCAATGATGAAAATTAATTAATTAATTAATCTAATTTAAAATATATGTGTCTAAGACACTTAACTAATCAATTAATATACCTTATTTAATAATATATAATTTTACTCAATTAAGTAATTTAATTAAAATTAATTTGTTTGAATTAAGAAACATTAAATATCATTAAGTTAAAAAAATTTTAAAAAATAAAGTTATTAATAAACTAAATTAATTTAATTAATTAAAATTATAAATTTAAATTTGAAATTAATTAAATGATATTTAATTAAAAAATAGAATTAATTAGTAAAATTAAATTATGAACTAATTAGGAGAATTTCGTATATTTTAATTATTAACTAATAATTGAAATTTATTAATTATTAATTAAAATAATTATTAATTAATATTTATTGTAATAATTTAGAAGAAAAGACAAATGGCGACCGGTCTCATTGAGACATGTCGCCATATGTCTTATAACTCACCCAATTGCATTTTAAATTTTTTTTAAGAAAGTCAGATGACCTAAAACCTGTCGCCAAAAATCTTAGGGTGAAGCTCCAACCCGCTCCTAACATCACAATGCCTCTAATTCCCGCGCATCGTTTTGTCATTCTCCCACAGCTCCCACCCTTATCTCTTCAGTTTTGACCACCTCCTCAGCTCCACCCCATATCCCTCTCGTCCCTTAGCGTGGTTTTTTGTTCCCAATCTTTTTTGTACCCTCTCTTTCTGGTAAGCTAATTTCACTTGCCCTTCTCCTTCTATTTTTCCCTCTCTTCAGTTTCCCAGTAATTATTATTTTTTCTCGTCACTCATGGTTTTTTTTCTTTTGTCAGTGATGCTCTTTTCGAAGTGCTTCTGTTTTTAGATGTTTCAGATGTGCTGAATAAACCGCTTGTAAAATTTCATGTTTCAGATGGACTGGCGCTAGCCTTGGAAGAAAATATCATTGGACAAGGCAGTTCTTGAGAAAGCAGCTGCTGGATTGGACTCTATTAGTGCTTTCTCCCAGGGCAATTAGGTAACCTCATTAAATTTCCCCTAAAGAAAAATAGAGTCCATAGGCCGCGTCAAGAAAATTTTCATAAAGACAATGTTTACTTTTTCTTCTTTTTGATAATATACTTTTGTTTTTATTATAAGTATGTTGTTCATATTAATATTAGCTTTTAATATCTGTTGCATTTTGTCTCGCTAATTTGTTATAACTACATGTTTTATATATTCAAATTTTCCTACTGCAAGTTTCCTGTTGGTTTGCCTAGATTCTTATTTTATGAATTTTATTTTCCTTATAACATCTTTAAGCATTTGTACACTGGGTCTCTCTTTTAGATATTTGAACAAACATTTATAGTGCCATAGCTTGATGTATATATTAGTTTTCTTGCATAAACTATGCATCTAGTCCTCTCTCTCTTTAAAAACTTGTAATGTTACAGGACTTGCGGCCCCTTGGTTTAGATGTCTTGATTATTTTAACATTCTCCTGGTTTCCTAGAATCAGCAATGTTAATTTCACATATTTTTCTTTTTTTTCCTCGTGTTTGTCTTTTTCAAACAGGATAACTACAAAAAACCAAACTATGTCCAAATTTCTATGGAGTCATATACCCATCTGACTGGTTTGGAGGATCAAGTGAAGACATATGAGGAAAAGTTCACAGTCTAGAGGATGGAATCAAGGAGCTGAGTGATAAGTTGTCACTGCAAATTCAGAGATGACAACCAAGGAAAACCTTGTAAAACAACATGCAAAAGTGGCTGAAGAAGCTGTCTCAGGTATGCTTTTTTTAATAATGAAACTACATACTAACTAAGATTTTCAAACTTCAATTTTACTTCAATTCTGAGGGCTTGTTATTGTTCTTGGATTTAGATTTTAATCATGTCCAATTGTTGCAGGATGGGAAAAGGCTGAAGCAGAAGCTTTGTCATTGAAGAATCATCTTGAATTTGTTACTCTTGCAAAACTCACTTTAAAGGATCGTGCATCACATCTAGATGGTGCTCTTAAAAGAGTGCATGCGATAGACAAGAAACCTGAAGGAAAAGCATGATAAGAGCCATTGAAGCACTTGCGTCTGTGAGTGAGTAATAGTGTCATTGCAAATTTCAAAGCACATGAATCAGCCTTTGTAAGCTCAATTTCATAGTAACAAGGTGTGTTAATGCTTCACTTCTATGGTACTATGTTCACAGATATTAATCAGCCTTTCAAGTTATATATTTTGGTCCTCTAGACTATTTTAGTTCCCTAGACTATTTTGTCTTCATGTTGGTGCTCTGCTATTTGTTTGTTAGTGTGTGTGAATGTGCCTAATAAGAGTGGGTAGAACAATATCCTGTGCAAATAATTTAATTATATTTGGCTAGTAGCATAACGAGGATATTATTATAATTAATTTTTGAGAATTGATCACATCTAGCTACTATTTAGCTATAGAATATTTCATTACTCAATGTTGCCATAGTAGTATGTTTTATTTTGGTTAACCTTATTTCATGCCTTTGCATAGCATCGACATTAATATTAATCCTAGCTAGTCATAATAGTAGCATATATTGGTGTGTGCTTTGCAAAACAGAGAATATCTATGCATGTATTGTCTTTATTAAATTTTGAACTGGTGAAAATAATTATAATAATATAAAATAATTTCAATTTCCAAATTAAAGCCATTTTTCCCGAGATCCAAGTTTTCTCAATAATGGATTCAGGTTTCAGTATTGGGAGATGGCAGGTACCACTTGGATACATATCATTTTATTAACAAGGCATCCTCTTCTTCTATTAAGTTTAACTAAGTTTAGTTTCCAAAGATCATTATTATTCAGAGAATGTTTAGAAAAATATTTACATATTATGTACCTACCTACAAAATTCAGAGAATTTGACTCAATAATTGTTATTTTATTATGCTAACTTGTCCATAAATCTCATGGTATAGGAACTTGATTGTAATTCTCCTACCAAAATTGTCATATTAATGTGCAATAGGATTAAGTAAAGCATATATATCTTGTGTTTGTGTTTTTGTCATCTATTCAAAGTTATATATTTTGGTCCTATAGACTATTTTAGCTCCTCAAAGTTTTACCATCTCTTTTTAGTTTTCTAGACTATTTTGTCTTCACGTTGGTACTCTACTATGGCGTGTTTAAATGGCAATTGAGCACCTGGCATTTGTAGACTGTGTAAGTGCCAAATTATCTGAACTAATGATACTTATGGTCATCATATATTTAATAGTTTTTAATTATGTATATTTGATAAATAGATCTTTATTTTGTTATTGGAGGTTAGCAAATAAAGTTGACAAGAAGCAAAATGAAATCAAGTGGGTGCATATTCAAAGTAAGTATTTTAAATTTATTCCTTAATTAGAATAAAGATTATAATATTGGTTTTATATATTGAATTAATTTTATTTTCTTAATACTATGTTATCATCTTTGATAAGGTAATAATATGTTTTTAATGCTTTATATTTTGAAGCTGGCCTTATACTTAAATTGTTATTTATACATATATTGTTATTAAATTTGCAGCATTTCACAAGTTTAGAGCCATATTTTAAGTAAGAGATAAGACATACACATAACATTTGGTCTAATTTTTTCCTAGAATTAACAAGATTAGAGTAAATAGTTTATATATATTTGTGTTGGAAATGCTTATATTTAGTTGATATCCAGTTTGTACTGGATGTATTTGTACTAATCTTTAGAACTGTTGTTATGTATTTATGTAGGTTTTATAATTAGTAAGGGATGTATATAGTTACGAGTGTTTAAAAAAAAAAACAAAACCCTTACAACCATAGTTATTTGTTATAAATGTGGCCAAAAATGCCATTTATGGACACAATTATGGTTAATAACTGTGGCCATAAATGGTGATCCTAACCATTTATGACCACAGGTCCGAGATAGACCTGTGGCCGTAAATGCATCTTTTCACCTGTGGTTGTAAATGTTATTTTTCGCCATAGTTCTATGAAGAATTATGGCAAAAAATGCCATTTACTACCACACACTATCTTCTGTCGCTAAAAATTTTTTAACTATGGCCAAAAACTCCATTTGCACTAGTGCCAATTTCTATTCCGCCTTACAGAATGGCACCTTCTGAGCTGAGAGAACTGAAGTCTCAATTGCAAGAACTATTAGATAAGGGATTCACCTGATGGGGAGCACCAGTACTTTTTGTGAAGAAAAAAGATGGGCCATTAAGACTTTGTATTGATTATCAACAACTTAATAAGGTGATGGTGAAAAATAAGTACCCATTGCCTCAGATCGATGATCTTTTTGATCAGATGCAAGGAGCTAAGTGCTTTTCCAAAATAGACTTGCGTTCGGGTTATCATCAGTTAAAGATCGAGAAGGAGGAGATACCTAAGATTGCATTTAGAACCTGATATGGTCATTATGAAATTCCTTGTAATGTCATTTAGGTTAACTAATGCACCGGTAGCATTCATGGATTTGATGAATCGAGTGTTTAGACCATTCCTTGACAAATTCGTGATCGTTTTCATTGATGATATTTTGATATACTCAAAGAGCCTAGAGGAGTATGAACATCACTTGCGGCTTGTTTTACAAACAATAAGGGAGCAATAACTTTATGCCAAGTTCTCTAAATGTAAATTTTGGCTTGATAAAGCTACCTTCTTAAGACACGGTGTTTCTAAAGATGGTATTCAGGTGGATCCAAGCAAAGTAGAAACGGTGCAGAATTGGCAAAGACCGACAACTGTTATAGAAATTCATAGTTTCTTGGGTCTTGCAGGATATTATCATTGTTTTGTCAAGGATTTCTCCAAAATAGCTACTCCACCGACGAGACTAACTCAGAAGAATGTGAAATTTGAATGGGATGACAAGTGTGAAGATAGTTTCCAAAAGTTAAAAGAGTGTTTAACTTCGACACCAGTCTTGAGTTTACCATCAGGCAGCAGAGGGTATGCGGTTTGTTATGATGCTTCTCGTGTGGGTCTAGGGTGTGTCTTAATGCAATATGGATGAGTTATTGCTTATTCCTCAAGGAAACTTAAGAAGCACGAGCAGAACTACCCAATTCACAATTTGGAGATGGCAACGGTTGTTTTTGCATTGAAGATCTGGCACCACTATCTTTATGGTGAGACTTATTGAGATTTATACTTATTATAAGAGTCTTAAATACATTTTTGAGTAAAGGATCTTAATTTTAGACAAAGAAGATGGATGGAGTTGCTTAAGAAATATGATTGTACAATTCTTTACCATCCTGGCAAAGCAAATGTTGTAGTTGATGCATTAAGTAGGAAACCTATGGGAAGTTTGGCGCATATGACTTTAGTAAGGAGGCCTTTAGTGCAAGAAATTCATAAGCTTGAACAGAGTGGAGTGAAGTTTGAGATTGTTGATAAGGGAGCATTTCTAACTCACGTATGAGCTTGTTCTTCTTTAATGGATCAGATTAAGAGTGCTCAATTTTTGGATCTAAAGTTATGCAAGTTAAAGGAAGCAGTCATAGTAGGAATTACACTAAGTTTGAAATTGACTAGGAAGGGAATTAAAGTGCAATGGTAAATTTTGCGTGCTACAAGAGGAAAATTTAAAGTGACTTATCTTGAAAGAGGCTCATCAATTCTGCGTATGCCGTTCATCTAGGAGCAACAAAAATGTATCAGGATTTGAAACAATTGTATTGGTGGGATGGCATAAAAAGGATGTGGCAGACTTTGTTTCACACTATTTGACATGCCAGCAAGTTAAGGCAGAACATCAGAAGTTAGCTAGATTACATCAACGATTAAAGATACCAGAGTGGAAATGGGAAAATATCATTATGGACTTTGTTACCGGGTTGCCTCGTATGTTGAAAGGACATGATTTTATTTGGGTTATTATTGATAGATTGACTAAATCAGCTCATTTCGTTCTAGTGAAGACAACTTATAATGTTGATAAGTATGCTAATTGTATATTGATGATATTGTATGGTTGCATGGGGTCCCAATATTGATAATTTCTAATAGAGGCCCTCAGTTTACTTCCCAATTTTGGAGATCTTTCCAAGACACTTTGGCTAGTTAACTGGATCTTAGTACTACTTTTCACCCATAAACAATGGTCAATCTGAGAGAACCATCCATATACTTGAAGATATGCTAAGGTCTTGCATTTTGGACTTTGGTGGTAGTTGGGATAAATACTTAGCCTTAGTGGAGTTCGCTTACAATAACAGTTATCAATCTAGCATGCAAATGGCTCCATATGAGGCCTTAAATGGCAGGCAATGTAGATCCCCTATTGGATGGTTTGATGTTGGCGATCCTAAGCTTTTGGGGCCAGATTTGGTACATAATGCTATTAAGAAAGTGAAAATAATTAGAGAAAGATTAATAACAGCTCAAAGTCAACAGAAGTCTTATGTTGATAATCGACGTCAGGAGTTATAATTCATTGTCAGGGATAAAGTATTTCTTAAGTTATCTCCTATGAAAGGGGAGATAAGGCTCGGGAAGAAAGGTAGCTACGCTCAAGGTATATAGGCCTATTTGAAATCTTAGAAAGAATTAGTTCAGTTGCTTATCATTTGGCGTTACTGCTTGAATTGTCAGGTATTCATTCGGTGTTTCATGTATTAATGCTGTGAAAATATTTATATGACCCTTCTCATGTGATAGAAACTTAAGGAATTCAGATAGACCCAGATTTAACTTACGAAGAAGTTCTTGTAGCTATTTTAGATCGACAAGTTAAGAAGTTACGGTTGAAAGAAATTGTTTTGGTGAAGGTGTTGTGGCGTAACCATTCTCAGGAAGAAGCTACATGGGAAGTTGAACGTGATATGCATGCTAAGTATCCACATCTATTTGAAAAAATGAGGTAAACACAAATTTAAATTTAGAGGACCGAATTTCCTAAGGAGGGGAGAATGTAATAATCCACAAAAAATTATAATAAAAATATAATTTAATTATTATTGTAGCATTTTAATTGTAGATATATTAATTTTTATGATAAATATGGCAATAAGGGTAGTTGGTACAATGGAAGCTATGTAGGTGCTCTTCTTATCTTGTCACGAGTTCGAATACCAGACAGCAAAAAAAATGATGTTTTATTTTTTGTTTTTTTCATATGAAATTATAGAATAGCCCTTCCTTCCAATTTAGATAAAATCTTCAACCTCTTTGGATTTTTCCAAATCTGCTGATAGAGACAGAGCTCAAACCATCCTCTCATCTTTGTAAATCCTTCGTTCTCGTCCATCATCTCAGTGTCTTCAGTGTGAGTCTCAATTGCACCGTGAGTTCAGTGCTTTCATCTTCGCATGCTATTGAGTTTCCTTCCTCCATTTTGTCATCCCTATCATTATGCCATTGTTGCGCAAGAGCTGAGTCACTGGTGTGTTTGCTTCTACTTTGTCCTCACTAGTTAGTTAGTTGTGATTTTTATTTTTCTTTCTTTGTTCCAGACTATGAGTTTCCTCTTTGTTTGCATCCTCCTCACTGCGTGATTACATAAGCCTCATTATTCATTGTTCATACACGAGATTGTCTGCTCCTTGCTCTGTTTGTGCGACGTGAGTCATTTAAGATAGAAGCCTTGACCTTTTAGCTTGTTCTTTGAAGAATATATGTTGGGAGAGTTGATTAGTTAGTGTGAGAGTTTCATTTGGGTGGCTGTTATTTTTCCACTGCACTTGCTGTCTTCTTCTCACCCTAAGTCATCCATGTTCAAATAGGTGCTGGGATGAGAAACCAAGTTATTAGAACTGCTATTGGTGCTGTTGCAGGCTTGATTTGTTGTTGCTGATTCAGTTTCTCTCATTTCTTGCAAGCTGTGTTCGGTTCTACCTCTCCCCTGTCCAGCCATCCACTTCGTTTCATTCCTCTTTGCTTTCCATTATGGTGATCTAAGGTGAGGAAGCTTTACATAGTGTCTTCTCTTGCTTTTTGTAAGTATGAACTGAAGATTAGAGTTGCAAAAATTTATCTCCTCTGTTGCTGTCCGTGACTGCATATATGGATATATGAGAAGAAGAATTTTGATTTTAAGTGGTAATTTGTGGCAGTAGGAGGAAGGATATGATGTTGTTGATTGAAGTTTTCAATTGAAATAAATGGATTATTCATATTGTAAGGTTTATGGAAGCTAAAATCTAGGAGTAAAGATTAATTTTAACTTAGAAAATTATGCCCATAAAGTGTTTAATAAAATGCCTAATAGGAGAGATATGTTAGTAGAGAAGCTATTAAATTATGAATGATAATGCGTGGGTCAACTTTCTAAAGTATGAATGTTAATTTTAAAATTTTAGATGATGGTTTGATTTAGAAATGTGTTAAAAATTTCATTTATTGATATCTTGATATGGTCTGAGGAAGAGCAGGACCCTATTAGTAGAGAAGCTATTAAATTATGAATGATAATGCGTGGGTCAACTTTCTAAAGCATGAATGTTAATTTTAAAATTTTAGATGATGGGGTTGATTTAGAATTATGTTAAAAATTTCATTTATTGATATCCTGATAGGGTGTGAGGAAGAATAGGACCCTGACCAGCATTAAAGGCAAGACACTTTTGAGAATTTGAAGCTCTGACAAGTAAGTGAATAGAATTTCATTTAATTTATTTTTAATAAGTCTTTCACTGAAATATTTTATTTTTATGAGTTACATTAATTTTGAAAATTATGGGACGTTGATGAAGGATAAATAAATTATGATATGTGCATTCATTTATTCTAAAAAAAAATTTCAAGGTTGATGAAAGTATTCTTGTATGGTTGTTAAACTTTGAAATTTATTGGCTACCGAGTTAATGCAAGTTTGTTATTAGCCATAAAGTATGATTTTGACAAATTTTGAGATTTGAAATAATTCATGCGAGTTTGGCATTGACAATGATAATTTATTACGATAATTATTTTTCTCGCATATTTGAAGTGTGATTTTAAAAGAACTCTAAACAGAACATTGCTGCTAATGGCAGTTTCATTAGCCCGTAGTGCATTGTGGTTGAACACTAGCTAGTTTGTCTTATGAGCTTTATTCTCACGTTTGATGTTCATGAGCTTTGTACCCGCATTTGATTTTGTGGCTTGAGCCGCATTTGGTTAGTATTACCTTCGTGGATTGTGTGTGTATGTTTGTTTTGTAACTTCGGCTATATTTAGTTACTTACCCTCATGGACTGTGTGTCCACATTTGTTTTTGTGGCATTAATCGTATTTGGTTATTTACCCTCATGGACTGTGTGTTCACATTTGTTACCTATTCTATTGAGTTCTCAAAATTCTAAATGTTCATTAATTTGCATTTTCAAAATTTACATGATTTTGGCTAGCAGTTATATCACTTTGATTTATGTGTGAATAAATGGTTTTCTTTAAGCATGAAAAATAAATTGCTTCTAATTTACTCTCATTTTACGATTATGGAGACGACTTATAGACTTACAAATTTCTTTTGTTGAATTATTTTTAATTAGTTTACCCCATTATTAGAGTTTGTTAGTCTAAATTTTAAAATTTTAATTTGAAAATGTCACTGAAAAACTTATTTTGGCCTAAATTTATTAGCTGGCGCTGATTTCACCATCGACCTCTAAAGGGCAATATAACTACATTTGGTGGAAATTTTGGTTGGTACTATTATTTTTGATGAAAATATGTAAGTCTTATGTATTTTGATTTAAAAGAAAGATTAGTGCTCTACATAGATGTTGTTAGGATTTTATTTTGATCTATTATACTGTTTCTGGCTGGAAGGAGCTAAGCTCTTGATTGATACTGTATTCTGTGAAAAGTTTCGTTGTACAATTTTAGGAGATCCTATTTACAAGGGAGGCTACCAAAATTTCTACATAGATGTTGAAGTCTTGAATGACAATTAATATTAAAAGTGTTAGAATTTCTATATGATCTAATTATTTCTTTTTAGAAAACAGAATAAATTTTCATTTTAAGGCTTATGGAAATACGTGATGCAGTTTATACCCTTGCCGATCACCCTCTATTTTCGGGGCTTGACAGCACCTTCAGTGGTAGAATCACCCAGTCAAAAGCATTCTGTCCCACCTTTGCACTGACTTCCTGAGTGCACCTTCAATGATCGGGTTGTCATTACTCTAACACCACATCTCATAGATGCTAAGGAGCTAAAATGTCCAATACTGCACCCTTATGAGCACTAAGGAGATAATCTCTAACACCGCATCTCAATTAGTACTAAGGAGATAAAATTCTCCAACACCGTAAACCGTTGAGCACGAAGAAGAATATATGCCATATAGATTTCTCACTACTTCTCCTTGTGGGTGAACTCCTATTCCTATGATCTTGCTCGCATACAAATAAGTGTTTTATATTCTGTTGCTCACCATAAGTACACGAGTCATTGTTAGTAATATAATGAAAGTAAAGTATCGTTCCTTAGAGAATTTGTTTAAAAACAATGATCAAATAAAAGATTAAGTGAGTTCAATTAAGTTGAGCCAAACATAATTAGGAAAAAGTTAATTTTGCAAACTAAACTAATACTAGAAAATAAAGAAGCAATTGATTCATACTCTTCAAACATAAATTGGGACCTAGGATTATTTATCTCCTTATATTTTATAACACCAAAATTATCTCCTCTCATAAATGCTTTTAATGAAAATAAGTGCTAACTTAGAGTTCTAAAAATACTTGGACAAGCTCTCTCAAATTATGAATAAGTGTTTAGTTAAATCAATTGTCCAATCATTTGTTATAATTAATAAAATTTAATTTTAAGCACCAACCTTAATGTAGCTATGCAAGGCTAGCAAGTATATATCTATTTTACTAGTAAAACTATCCATTCAACATGTAAATATCAAGTTCTTGCATAATTTTACTCAAGTTCTACACTCAATCTAGCCATCTCAAATATCAATTAAGTGAACTCAATATCTAAATGGTGGCCAATCACTTAGAAGCATTAAGGTAAGAGTAAAATAAACACATATATCATTAATCACAAAGAGAGGAGGAACTTAATGTTAATCCATACAAAGGTTCAAAATAATCCTAGAGCAACGAGTTTAGCTCCTCATAAACATCAAAAAGCTACAAATATACAAGATATTCATAGCCAGTACAAGATTACAAGAAGGAAAGAGAAGAGGAATAGAAAAACTAAAGAAAAGAAGCTCCAAACATCTTCAAAACTCTATTTCCTTACTTCAAGCACTTTCAATGCCTAAACCCTAGCACACCCAAGCTCTAAATGTGTTTAAACGTTTGAAAAATGCATTCTGGGTTGACCTTTCAACATATATATGTCATAGCCAACTAATTTTTGATAAATAAAACGCAGCATTTTTCTGACAGCAGTGAAAGTCGCAAACGAAATCGTGACTTTCTGACGACTTTGGCATTTTTGAATTGTTTTTGTAATGAATGAAATTTATCCTTTTTACACTTGATTTCTTCATCCAAAAGCCTTCCAAAAACATCAATAAAGTTTCAAAAATGCATCTAATCAAATCTTAAACCAAAAATAACACAAAATTAGACCGAAAATATTAAATTAAAGCTAAGAATACAAACTCAAAGCAAAATGCACATTTTTTTAATTTGAAAAATAAAAGTATATACAAATAAGGCAAAATGGATTAAAATTTAAGGAAAATGTGATCAAATAACATGAAATTTTAGAAGTTAACATATTCAAATTCATATATATAGTTATATATCGTATATTCCCAAAAACTTTTTTATTTGAAATCTTTTTCATGCAACAATCATTTATGAAAAATGATAATAAAATCTCTTTGAATTATGTAAATGATAGTTTAGTCCCTTGAAATGTCATAATTGTTGGATAGGGAGCGCAGCGGAAGAATAAAAAATTAAATTCCTATCCTGATATGGATTGAATGAACTCATTTAAGCTAAAAGGATAAAAGAATTACCTTTTAATTTTGAGCTCCTCATATGTTATCTGCAAGTAATTGGATCTCAAGAGATGATAACATAGATTTGCTCTTTCTACTAGTATCCACACAAATAGCTATTAACTCAAATGGCATGCTAGCGTTTAAAACGTCTGTCCATTTTCTTAAACGTCAAACTACTCTTCTCTAGGGTTTTTCCATGGCTTTCAATGTGTTTTGCCATCAGAACTTTTTCTGACTCTCTCAAAAAACTCATTGAGGCAAATCCCAATCTATAATATGTATAGAATAGGGTTTTTGCCTTCTTATTCAAGAGCTAACAAAGAAAAATAGATTAAATTTATTTCATAAATAAAATCTATAATATCATATCTAATTTGAATTTATCTTCAAAGTTTAAATTATAGAATTGATATGATATTATCTTGTATCATATTAGTTATTAAATTTAATTGATTATATAGAATTAAATTTAAAACTAACACAAGATAATATAATATAATATAATATCACATATACATATCATATTATATATATATATACACAAATATATATATATATATATATATACATACATACATACATACATCAGATATATATATTTTGAATGTATATATATAATTATATTTTGAATTTTTTATTTCATATATTTATATATAAATATTTATTAAATAAATATTTAAATAAATATATATATATATATAAAATTCATTCACCCTAGATTAAAGCATTGAGTCTAGACATATTTTTGATTGAATGAATTTAGACATTATAGTTCGAGTTGGATTGTTTTTATGTGTGAGCTTGTAGGCCCATATGAAGTTGGGAATAAGCTAATTACGCTACTAGCTCACAAGTTACAAGTGGCATTTACCAAGACATTGCAATTACGCAATTCATATGGGGATTGATGATCCGATGCAATCTATCATATAATTGTGTCACATCTCTTTTATCACATGATATTTCGATCAAGTGTGAGACATGAAATTGTCATTCTCCTTTACATGATTATTACTTTCTCGATCTATGAGTAGACTGACTATAACAATAAAAATCTCTTTCCATTGTAGTATGACCATGCATTTTCTCAAGTCTTACTCATTAATGGGCCCAATAATATCTCTTAAATAAGGTGAGGGACAAATTCTCTCTTGATCACTGATATTCCTCTGCATGAATATCACTAAACTCAATCATAGCCTTTAAGATTATCCAATCAAAGGTGACTTTTAACTAGGTCAAAATTCAATGGTCATCATATAGGAATCCATGATGATCTTAGGTTAAAGGGCTTAGTGATATGGTTACATATGAGATAAGCTTATGACTTGTACTATGAAGCTTTCTCATAGCGGGTCGATCTAGCACCTTGTAATCTTTCAAATGCCTTCGACTTTGATTTATATCTCTATAATCAATCAAAGTATACTTATTTTATTTCATCTATAATCCCTCGTAGATGACTGATCTGGAACATTTAGGACAATCACTATAGTTTGTCCAAGATATAATTATCATGGTGAACATGCAATCCATATGATAACAAAAGAGAAATTCATTGAATAATAATATGCATAGTACAATGATTAGCCATAGAGCACAATTTCCAACAATAATTCCTTGAAGTTCCTCGAGACTTTTTTGTTATTAAAGAATTAAGGAAAATGACCACATTTCCTTAGTTCAAGATTTCAAATGTGAACTTATGAATTGCTGATGCTTTCTTGTGATTTTAAGAAGACAAGTTGTAAATCTTAAAATAAAACTTATAATGGTAATTGATATTTGCAACACTTGAGGAATATTAGGATTTCAAATGCGAACTTGTGAATAGCTATTGAATTCTTATGATTTTAAGAAGAAAAGTTATGAATTTTAGGACAAAAATTGTGAATGACAATTGATTTTTGTAGCACTTGTGCAATATTAGGATTTCAAATGTAAACTTGTGAATTGTTATTGAATTCTTGCAATTTTAAGAAAAGTTGTGAATCTTGGAGCAAATCTTGTGAATGGAAATTGATATTTGAACTAAGGGTAATTTTGTCATTTATATTAATTCTTTAATGATAAAAAAGTCCTTAGGGACTTTATTGGCATTATGATATTTTGAGGGACCAAATTGTCATTTATATAATTCGAAGGAATTTTATTGTCATTTTTCCATCATTTATTTTCTCAAAACATGCACAATTTAAAATAATTTCATGCTGTTGCTATAATACTCACAAGCAGTTATAATAGACAATCAAATAGAGTAAGTTGTTCAGTTACCTCAACTCTTCTGTCACAAGAAAAGGTTACTCATGGATTATTCCCAATAGTTAATATCCCCATATGTTTTATCTCTTGAGTTATAGATGCAACACGACAATCTACATACAATTAGTACTATTTAGTCAATTAATTAATCAAATTGACCACAAGTACTAATTATCATCTACAGTCACCTTTAACTATTCTTTCCCTTTTATTTGGTCAATTTAGGCTCATTACATTCCAATCACACCCCGTTTTACCACTTCTATCAATCTTAATACACTTCTTTCACAACTTCATTCCTATTTCCCTTTTAGTTTAGAGCTAATTTAAGCTTATAGCTTCAAAGCTTTACTGTTTAATTCTAACTTAGTCATAAAACCTTAATTTAATTCTTGAGAACCTTTTTATTATAAAAGCGTAAGAAACACATCCCTTAAAACTTTTTGATTCAAATTTTTTGTAACTTATACTAAGAGAAATTAGGATAGAATTGAAGCTGAGGGCGGTACGAAACTTACTCAGTAAGCTAATGGTTAGAAATGTCTCTTGAGGCTTTAGAAATTGATGCCCTACATAGCTTTGGGTTTTCCACCTTTCTTCCTCACGTTTCCTCTCTTTTCTCACCAAAAACCATGAGCTTCCACATCCTTATTAATCAATTTTCTGAGCCATGCACTGCGGTGCATGCATCTTGTATTGCGGTGTGTGGCATAGTGAGGTAAATTCTTATTGCACGCACATGCTTCATCCAAAACATGACTCTTTCACTTGAATCTGTTCATTAAACATTCCAAAGAGTCAAAATACTAAATTGTCATCCTATATCCTAATCACTCACTAATTTACCAATTTATCCCTAATTAGAAATTAATTTCATATTAAAAAATCAAGATGTTGCATAAGACATCTATTCTTGAGGAGCATATAGTAGTTTATACGCTCTGTGAGTAAATAATGTCACTTATATGCCAAGAATGTCCTCAAAGAACTGGTGAGTTGGATTAATGCCTCTGTAGATGCAATTGACAACATCCATGGAATTTAAGAAAATATATATCTTTTTAAGTTCAGA